TAACCACACACTCATGATGCAACGACAAACGCCTTAGTTTATACGATTGACACCGCAGGTGTAAAGAGGTATAAAAAATAGTTATAAGTGAAAGGGGGTAGGAATCAGATAGTCTGTAGGTGGAGGGCAATTAAGGAGAAGAGGGGGAAGGGCGGAACGGGGAGAGGAGGAAACAGGGAGGAGAAAGGCGCCGAGAGAAGAAGAGGGAGGAGAAAGTAGCGGAGAGAGGAAGGAGAGAATACTTACGTGTCCTAGGACACGAATACCGGTACCTCTCCCCCCATAGACATCGAGGCCGCTGGAGCTCAGTGGAAAGGCAAACTGGATTGACCGGATGAACTTGACCCTACTCATACATCAAAAATCCACGATGCAGCTTAAGATATTCCATGCTGTCTTATATTTTCTCCGTACAAGTATCGACGCCCCAAGTCCATACAATTTTTGTCCCAACTTTAAGGGCTATTACGAGAAGAACCACCTCTAGAACTGAATCTACTCTGTCAATGTGTTCCATACAGTAGCGAGTGATCGTCGGAAAGTTGTGGAGATTTGGTTGTCATGAAGCTCTATTCTAATATGCCGGCGCCCGCCGTGCAGTAATTCTCGCTGGGTTTTGCTCGCTTGTGCAACAGTGGAAGTAGTTAATTCGGGTTTCGCGGTGGGGCTTTTTTCCAGGAATATTTTGGTTTCATATACACCGGTGTGGGAATTTTCTCGAGCTTCCCTTCGATGAATGGTGTTCAGTCCGAGCTAACTCCAATAGGTGGAAGTGCGCTTGTGACCTATCAACTATACTGGGCGATAGTGAGGATTGACTTGACCTCCGGTAGCGATAGTGTAACTTGACAAATACCGCAAAAACTCGCTAAACTCGCTATGCAGCCAAGGACGGTATTGACGTGGGAGAGTACATAAGACATGCATTAGTGTGATGTTTGAGAGAAAAGGACAACAACACCTGACTTGGATGACAACAACCATACAGGTTGAATAAGTGGTAGTACTGGTATCGTATCTCAAACTTCTAAATATCATCAAGACTTGGAATATTCAACAACCAAGATGCAAAAAGTACGTCGAGGACCAAAGCCCAAGCCGCTGGGTGAGAGAAGCATAGGGGAAGTGCAGCAGATTCAGCGACCTATCCGAACATACTCCCGAGCCAAAAAGCTCCAAGTGCTAAAATTTCTCTCCGACCATCGAGTGCCATGTAGTCAGCCAGCTGGATCACAGCTTCCATCTCAAGAGGAAGCTGCTCTGCAATTTCAAATACCCCAAACCACCATTAGTGGCTGGGTTCGAAATAGTGAGAGGATTTTGGAGGCAAGGAAGGGGGAAAGAACGGTGAAGAAGGCTGTTGGGTGTCATTGGCCGGAGATGGAAGACGAATTGAATGTAAGGTTTTTGGAGGAAAGAGAAGCTGGGCGGGCAGTATGCCGTGGGTGGTTTAGGAGAATATCAAGTCAAATATTCCAGAGAGTCTACCCGCATAGTTCACAGTCCTTTCAGTTCTCCAACGGCTGGTTTCGGAATTTTTTACAGCGATATCGGATCAGCCTTCGGTTTGCCATACGGAAGGCTCAAAGAGTGCCTGAAGAATACCGCCTACTGATTCTGAATTGGATTCGCTTTAACCGAAGCAACTCACAACCTAATCCTGATCCTTTCCTTGTTCCACCGTTCGACCATTCGCCGTTAGCCGGTTCGATTGCGTGCACGGCTGCGCAGCGGTGCGATCGGTAATGGGGAGGTGTGCGGTGGCCGGGCGTCAGGCGTAGGAAGGCATTGGGGCGGCGGGAAGGAAGGGGGGGAATTGGAGTCGTGTGCCCACTGGAAGGGCAGCTGGAGTCCGGAAGGAAGGAAGGAAGGAAGGGGTAAGGCCAGAAGGGAGGACGGAAGGATACAGGGAAGGCCGGAGAGCCTGAAGGCACTGGGTGTTTGTTAGTTTATTAGTTTGCTGTTTGTGCTTAGTGAAGAGAGGACTTTGAATGGGGACTTGAGAGTTTATAATCGTTTGAGTGAGCAAGAACCTTTAACCGTCAGTTTCTTCCTTTTGCTTCCGATCACCAAGGTGAATGACAACTATATACTATAGAAAAGCCAACTGTCCAGATATCCATACTTCCTCATACCATACTGCTCCCCGTACTAGTATGGGGTTATCAGGAAGCCCGTAACAATCTCAACCATGTCGCAACGCTTAGGGCCTCTCTTCCGCCGAGTGATAGACGGTGATAGCTGGCGCCTAAAATGCCCCACATGTACACCTCTCCTTCCTTTGTAGGGCCAAGGGCGTGATCAGTACTACTGAGCAATGTTCTTGAGCATAGATAGTAGGGCTGGAGCATGCTAGACACTAGGCCTCTCATTGAATCTAAGGTGTCGGCGCACTAAACGATAAATCAACTATACTAGAACCCGAAGAAAGAAACCACATACCCTAAACGTTCCCCATCCATAAACCTGGCCTACATCGGATGGCTGTCCTGGACGGGGTGGGCGGCGGTTGACTACATCTAGAAAGACCCCTCACTGTAGGCTGGATGGCCACCGTCCTCGAATGCCGGATGGACAGCGACTCCCAGTGGGAGGACCCCGGAGATAGGCTAGGACATAGCATGCGTTCAATAATAGCGTCAGACCGTTGACTCAGGCCTATTCATCGCTATGTAAAGGACCGGCAGTCCAGCCCCAACTACGCCTGCTATACAGTATAATGCCAAATCAATAATGCTAAACCACTACAATGAGCCCCTCGCATTGTATGCTACCTAAACGGTACAATGGATTTAATGAGGGAAATAGCGAAGGCACATACCCTATCATGGTCAGGAAAAAGATCCAAGCGTGGCGGAAATGCACAGTGTCGAGTGAGCCGGGATGAACCGGAGGGTGATTGACTGTCCGTCAGGCGTAAATGTTCTAAACTAGTGGAAATATCAAAGGAACATATGCAAGAATATTAATGTGCAGACAGGAGAACAACAGTGACAACAATATTCTGATACTCAATGCCCGAAACTACTAGCACCTTCGATTTAAGAACACACTGGCTCCACAATCCCCAGTCTCTTTTGTCTGACGCCCCTCCCCCTCCTTCTCCGTTAAACATCACCATTCAGCAAACATGTTCACTCCGGTCAACCAAGCCCGTCAAACACCAGGTCAAAATCCCCCTTTACCCGCGATGGAGCGCCGACTTCTGCGACCAGCCCACTCCTACAAAGTATTGCGGGAAGACTGCGGCTTCAACATGGAGGATTGGACATCTTTTCACGAAGTGGTTCAAAATGTCCTTTTGGAACCGAGAAATTACGTCGCGCTCCAAAAGCCCTACATGCACCGTGAAGCGTGGGAGGGGTGGTTGCAAAATTTTACAGACACGACCGGTCTAGTGGATGTGTATTGGCCTGCCAAAACCTCCAGGAAATGGAATGTTGCTGAAAACGGTGAAGTGTTGGTGTCCCGTCTTTCTCTGTCTATTCCTACTCCCATTTGATTCTTGTCGCTGACTTTGACCCTCCAGCATCCGGGCATTCGTCCGAGACGTCGTGATCACTATAGCTGGAGAGATATCTAGAGCTAGGAATCGGATCGCTAGGGAGGCCAATTACGTCAAGAACATAGAACCACCGGAATTCCCTGCTTCAGCTCAATCGGAAGCGGATGATCCAGAGCCAGACATATTCTCCAGGGTTAAGACAGAAGGACCGCCGAGGACGTCCGGAACGGCGGAGGAATGGCCTCACCCAAGCTCTGCCATAAGGGCTGCGAAGCTTGAGGAGGTTCCCTCAGTTGTGAACAATGTTGCATCTATAGCAGCTCCTCCGTCTTCACTTCTCCCTACTGCGCTGCCTTCTCCATCGCCAAGTGAGCCACCCGTTAAGCTACTGCCTGTCCGGGAAGTGGTGGACATCGAAAGATACGATCCCGATGCGCCAATTGAACTCATCCCCGAAGGGTATGTTAGACAATTCGTCATCGATGACAACAGCGGTGGCTGCAATAATATCATTCTGCTAAAAGATCCTGCATACAATGGCTCCCCCCAAAAGAAACGCCAGGTAAAAGAACAGCTTGAGATACGGAGCTTACTTCAGAGTAATGACGACCCTCAAAATTTGCCGGCACTGAGAACCAGCCCCTCTCCAACACCCGCAACCACCACGTCTCATACGCCATGGAGGAACTGGGCTCAAGGGTGTCCAGAAGAAACCCTTGAGGGCCTACCCAGACGAGCTGTCTACAGTTCATCCCGGGAAGATACGCCAGTTCCAGCAGAACGGGAACGCAGCTGGGTAATTAGGGGAGACAACAAGGCCAACAGGGACAGGATGGGGGTCAAACACGAGATTGAATCAGATGACGACGATGAAGGCGATGAGGATTACCGGGGGGATGATGAAGACGAGACAGTATATGCAAGGGGGGGAACTGAAACGGACACCGAGGGAGAGCGTGAATTTTCTCGCCCTATACCTAGAGGGAATAACCGGAGACATAAATATTCCCTCCGGAAAAGACTACAAGTCTTATAGGGAATGTTAGGGCGACAAATTGGGATGGGCTTTCATGTAATGAAACTCTTTATTTGCTGTGAACGCTCTGCCGCTAGTTAATGATTTACACAATGAATTCTCTCTTGTCAATTGATACTTTACTATGATACCTTCTCGCAGTCATGGTGACATAACGCCTGACAAGCGGGAATTACATTTCGATTGTGCCCTAGTCACCGCTAGGGATAGTGTTTTAGAGTTAATTGCTGGAAGGCGGAAAGATAATTCAACGCATAAGGAGCTGTAAGCCCGAGGTCGTCGTACTAGCAGGGGGGGTGGAGAACCCTGTTAAAGGCTCCGCACACTCACACAAAAGATGCAAAGGCCCACAGCAAGATTGGAAATTTCCGCAGCTGATTGATTCTTATTGATTCTTATCTGGGGTTGTGTTCAGTCTCCATAGGCGGTCACTCGATAACCATGACGGATTGGGGCATATGCGCTGCACAGACCAGACTCTTCTCAACCGGCGTCTCTCTCTATCAGGCTCCTTAACCCACCTCTCTCCCCATCCTCACACTCAGCTTGGCTTTTGTCGTCTCTTCTCCGTGTGTCTCGCAACTTCGCGGCCATACTTTATTCAATTTGTATTCCCCTTTCTCACCACCCGCCATTCTTTGCCTCTCTAAGGGTTTCCTTCCTTATTTCCTAGATTTCTATACGATACTGACGCCGTCTCCCTTTTTATTTGCTCTCCTTTCTTCCATCTACCTTCTACAGCTCCTGCCTCGAGGAGATAAACCACTCCTAATACAAGTATGTTCATCGGTTTTTTTGTTCAGGAGATTAGGAAGCTCTCAACTGTTTTGTTGGCGGTATAGTTGTTACGCGCAACGCGCACTTGACCACACCACCGAACCCACTGTAGGTTTCGTATTACGTACTGTAGCCTAGACATAATTATAAAAAATCAGCACCATAGCTCTAAGAATCAACATTCGCTGGACGAGCCGATACCCGAGTTTATCTACGTCAAGTTTACCTATTTCAATAGCGAAGGACTGCTAGGGGGTAAGTGTCACCCCGCGATCCCCCGCGATCCTTGTATCAAAGCCTCAGGTGCTGGGAGCGGGTTATGCATAAGCGAGGGTGCATGAGGTGCCTAGAGCGTTATCCCTTTCTTTTCAAGTTTTACTTCCATTGCTGGGCTTCTATCTAGATGCTAGCAGTTTTTTCCAGTCCTGCAAGACCCTGAATCCCAATTTCTTAGACATCCTAAGAATACCAAGCACGGAAGCTAAACCCAGGTAGCCTAACAATAGAACAAACGGGGAATTGAACTCCCCATCCCACTTACCTAGCGCACGTTCGGGTGGGCAGAGCTTAGCGCCGCCTGGCAAGTCCCGCAACTCTTTCAACCAAACTAACCTCAACCACACCCGAAAAACTGCTACCCACCACAAACCCACCGCCCCCCTCTCCCTCTCCCTCGCCCATCCCATCAATAACATCATCCAACAAACCCAACTCCACCAAACACTTCATGATATTCCACTTCCCCTGTTTATAGCTCATCCTGCCAGCCATAACCCTTTCAGAAATATCGTGAACTTTACGTTGTTCGGCCAGCGCGGCGTCCCAGGACTGCTTTGCATTGGAGCCAATCCCCTCGGCGTTTCTGTAAGCTTTTGTACACAAAAGGGTAGCAGTGGCATCTGCGTGCGCTACCAAACCCAGGAGTTGGGTGGTCTGAGTGCGGGTTATGGGAGACATATTCAGGTGCTGCTGAGCGGGGTAGAACTCCTTTTATAAATATAAAATTGGTGATACCAGTTATTGTGTTTCGTGTTACATGGCGGAAGGGGGGGGGTGTGGGGGGTGGGGGGTGGGGATTAACTTATAGTGGTGTGGAGAGCTTGAAACTCTTGGAGAGAAGGCACTTTGAAAAATATGGATTTTGTAATGTCTGCTCTTAGATAGGTGCGCTCGAGAATTCTATACAGGCGCTCCGGAAATGCCGGATATCCAACCTGAATAAGGAAATAATAGAGGAACGGTGCAAGGCCGAGATCGATTTATTACAAACCCCGGTTCGACCTTCATATATCAACGAGTGATTTGGTCTGATGGTCTGGGTATGATAAAAATATATAATAGTCGTTAGACAACAACTTCCTCTTCCATCCCTCCCCCACGTAGAAGACTAAAAGGGAAATCCCCCTTCACCCCGTACACCGCAATCGCCTGTCGTCACCCGTGATTTGCAAGTAACGAGATGAACCATCCAATGCTTACTTCACCTCCACAGGAAAATGGTGCGCTGCCCATGAGTCAACCCGATAGCGGAGAAAAGACATAGCCGATAAATACCACTGCATCCGATGCTATTAGTACCGACTGAACCCCCATCGATTGCAGGGAGTGAGCGGCCCTGGTATCGTATATCGATTCATGCGCAAGGCAAATCCTACAGGTAACCGGTACAGATGTGGGGGAACAGCGGGACGGGAGACACAACCACCAGCATTACAGGCACTTGCAGCACCTGTATAAGGTTGTATTTGCCCGGGTAGCTTCCCCTGGTAGATTCTTATCGCAATGAATTGTCGATACCAAGCCCATCCCGTGGCGGCTGACAGCAGGGAAAGAACTAGGGGGACAAAATCCTTTCGATATTCCCGACAGCTCGCTTGTTCTAAAATTCCGCAGTACCCAATGCCCCTCTATAACGAACAGAACATCACCGCCTGCTCTTCGCTCTATTTTGTTTTCCGGATAGGAGCATTTCCAAAAGTTCCTTGCCTAACCCCGTTCCCGCTCGTTTCGGGGGACCCACCGTTCGCTCGCTCCACCGTTTGTACCGGTACCCTAAAGTATAGCGGTATACCTTGTATTCTAGTTACCGACGGATGCCACATAAGTACCGTGCTCTTGTGGGTTGTCTCGGAGTCCTCGTGAGTGATAACACAATCAGCTGGAAAAATAAAGAATGTAAGGAAATAGCTGCAGGGTCGGAAGGGAACCGGGTGAGCGGGTGATTTAAGGCAGGGATGCCAGGAGATGGGGAATGACCAGAGTAGGAGCGGAACTATTAGGTAAGCAGTTATACTAAACCCAAACCAACCAAGGATCCCATCACTGCAAGACAGGAACATTTCCCCTCCACTGCACTACGCTTTTACCCTGAGTAGTTGACTATAACACAGCGATAAATACCTACAGCCCTCCGCCAAGAAAAGCAACTCATATACTCGTGCCAAGGTTGTGGCTGGCCGCCACAACCCCCGCACGTTCGCAAGCTCACAACCCGGGGCATTCTAAAGAGTACCTGACAGCTCAACACAACTTTGTGGCTCACCAATAGAAAATTAGTGGCTCACCACCACCCTGTAACTTAGCTTAATGATTGGACATAACTTTACTCAGTACTATGCAATTAAATAGAACCTTGGAGTTGTATAAAGCATCAAGTTGACAGAAAGTATCATAAAATTCTATTTTACATTAATTTTCGCAACCTTCCTTGTTGCTTAATTCCAGTTATTATCATCCTTGATATTTTTTTTTTATGTGCATGAATGGTACGGCGAGCCTTTGCTTCTCGCTTTATTTCATCCAGAAATGGTTTGCATTCCACCTGCTCTGCTCCTTTCTTTACATTTTGTGCCTTATGTAGCAGTTTCTGTAACGTGTTCGCACCGGGGTGCTAATCACGCTTCCGGGTACAATAGGAGTAGCGCACAAGCTGATCAACAACCTATGGGCGTACTGCGCTAAGGGAGGCTCCGAGAGAAAGATATAAAGAATAGGGACTTGAAGCGGTAACCGTTCAACCAAGTATATTAGAAATACTCTGTCCGTCGAAGTCTGCTGTTCCTCTAAGGGAATCAACGGTC